GATCTTCCTGCAGCGTGAAGCAGACATGACTTCTAACAGCTCTGTGAGACGTTTAGCGGAAGCAGCAGTTTAAAGCTGTGAACTTACAAGTGTGACATCATCACTGCACATTTCAAATGGTACTACAATACATAGTGTTTGAAGCCTCTTGGTGGTAAACAAGTGTACTACCATTATCTCCATGATCCATTACTTGTACTATCATATCTGTTTTGTAATAACCTACTTTATACTAAAGATAGAAGCTGCAGAATTAAACAAAATATTTGTGGCAAATGATGTTTATCGGTTATCGCCTGTTACTGAAGACGAAAGTTCAACAACGTATTTTTCCATGTTTGAATGTTTCTGTTTGTGTATTTGTTTGCATTTTTTGCAACATATCTCATGAACCACTGAACAAATTTTATTGAAGCTTTCAGGAAAGGACCATTAGACGTATATCTGGTTAACTTTAGAAGTCAAACTGATTCCAGACTGCTGCCGTAACCAGCAAATTTAATTATTTGAGCAGGAATTCTTTTAGATCTTGTACGTGGAAACGTTTAACTTTTTGATAAATAGTTTACTTTGCGATCTGGTTGAGAGTTATTATTTAATGTGACCATATTGAGTCATTTATTATCACTGCAAGCCAGGAAATGATTTATCAAGTTGCATCAGCTAAAATGGCACAACCACACCCAAAGTTGTATTCATGTCACCAGGTTTCAGCTCCTTACCTGGTCAGAGTTGAGCATTTGATTTCATTCATCTTTCCAGGGTTTTACTGGCTGATACTTCAGATGGTTCATCTCTCACTTGATCGCTTGTCACTCATCAGGGAGAATGCTCTGGGTCTGCCTAACCAAAACCCAAGACCCCAGCCCAGACTTCATGGACTCTGCAATTCCTGTCCACAGACTCACAGATAGCATGACTTATTTCTAGAAACCTCCTTCCATAACTGGTGGTGATAACACCTTACTTGCATATCATATCCTTAGTTATTACAGATGATAAAAACAATTGATATAACTAATGCTTTATCAAAAGCATATTCTACCTTAGCACAGAAAGGTTACTTGATTATCAAGTTAGATGAGCTGTCATCTCTGAGTCTATTATTAATAACTCTAAATCAGTCACAGCACACGACACTTGCTTCAAACATTTGGAACCAACAATGTTGATTTAGTTGGTTTATTTTACTGTGTTAATTTATTTATTTTTAAAATCCCATTTACACAGTGAAAAACAAATAATCACAAGATATTCACATATTTTACTCCATTTTTTGTTTGTTTTAGTTTATGCATTTTTTTGTCCTTTTATTAAAGTATTTACAATCAGGAAACACGTCTTAAAATAATTTCATTAGAACAATACAAATTGTTACATTGAGAAAGGAGATATTCAAAGTTAAAATATACGCAAGTATGAACATTTTTCCTAACAGGAATACATACTGTAAGTGGAGCTATGAATATGATCATCAGTGCATAGATGAACTCCAGTTATTTCCCCTCCTGTGTTTTATTGGAGGGTGTGCAGTAGATGCTCTTTGTTTCTGCTCTGATGTTTTCATAATCTGCTTCTCCTTTATCTTCATCTCCAAATTGATAATCAGCACTCAGCTGTTCGGAAGTTTCCTGCTCTGACCGCCAGGAAAAATCTCCATTTACATGAATCTGAAAAAGCACATTAATACAAATCATAACACAAGAGTTAATACTATGAACATTTCTGATCATTAAATATAAAATATGTACATTATTATGCTCATAGAGCTCAAGTGAATTGCTCTTTGATTTGTGTCAGATTAAAAATAAATTGCTGTCTGACAGATCAGACTGTAACATCTTCTGTGATTCTTCACTGTTCTGGGGTCTCGTGTATGAAAGAGTAAACTGAATGATTTGATCAATTGTTTTATGTTCTTTCTGATACAACCTGGGCTTGAATCATTAGCCTCAGAATTAGGACTCAGGATAATAAGACCTAAGCACTGATCACTGAGCTAAAGCTAAAACTGATAATTGAATCCATTTATTTCTCATTCAAAACTTTATTTTCAACTCTTTTTTTTTTATTCCAATGACTTTTGAGTTTCTAGCACTGTTTTTGCCTCCCAGTTGGTCCTACTGCAATAAATTAAGGATGATCACAGAAGATATTTTGATATGTTTTCACCTTAAATAACATTTTCTTCACCTGATCAGTACAATAAGCAGAGTGAGATGTGATTGTGTTAGAATTCAACAGATACTGGAATGGCTGTCATACAGTTTGCCCCACTCCCCTCAGGCAGGAGGTTGTAGAGCATTAAGTGTAGAACCACTAGACCAGCGGTGTCAAACCCACCTTTTTCATTCAACCTTTATTTAGACAGGTAAATCCCATTGAGCCTCGAGGACTCATTTACAAGAGAGACCTGATACTTACAAAAGGGGCCAAAATTAAAACCTTTTTCAAACTAAGGGCCGGATTCAGAATCTACATTAACTCAACTTTGATACCCAGCATCTTTTCTTGGTTGTAGGTTCCTCAACAAGAGTTTGATTGGTCTCATTTGATGATCTCTTTTGTGCTTCTGACATCATAATCAAAGATGACTGAAAATATTAAAGTGATAAAAGTATTTTACATTTAAAATATCATCTTGGGGGCCAGACAAGATGTCAACAAGGGCCACATTTGGCCCCCGGGCCTTGAGTTTGACACATATGCACTAGACTAAGGAACTAAGACTAAGGAGACTAAGGAACAGCTTTTACCCTGAAACTGTTAGACCCATAAATCTGTGCTGCTGATTATCCATGCTGCTGATATCATACTGCTGATCTCATGCTGCTGTATTCATTCATACCCATCTGCTCACCACAGACTCATGTTCGAGCTGCTGGTTAATATACCGTATTATTGTACATTATTAGTGTTTAGTGTTTATCTTGGATCGTTTAGCATTAGTTTAGCATATACTGATATACAGCAGTCCCTCTCTATCTCGCTGTTCATTTATTGCGGACTCGCTCTATCGTGGTTTTTCAAAATAAGACTGGCCATGACACACAAATGGCTGATTGATGGATGAGTCACAGGATCGGCATGCCATTTTTATTTAAAATAAATTATTTTAAATTATTTAGCAGCTGCTGCACCTTTGTGCAGCCCAGAGCTGCAGAAAAAGCTTCCTCCTGCAGCTGATCAGCTGTTCTCCGTGCAGAGTGGAGAAGTGGGCGTGGCCGAGAGTGCTTGCAGGTGACAAAGAGCAGCAGAGGCAGAGAGCTGAAATCATGACATTCTGTGCTCTTTTAGAGCTTTAGAGTTTAGAAATATTGTTTAGAATATTGCAAGAGTGTGGGAAGGGTTAAACACCTTTATATGTATACATCTATAAATATATATACATATACATACATGCATACTAAAATAAACAACTACTTACTACTTGTACTACTATTCCTACTTTGCGGTTTTTCACTTATGACGGGGCTTCAGGATAAACGAGGTACTGCTGTACATCTTAGTGTATATCTTGGATCTTTATATACTGTTTCTTTTTATACTTTATATTTTTACTATATTTGGGTGTAATTGGGACCTTGAGTACATCATTTCGTTCCACCTCATGTACTGCATGTGATGTGAATGACAATAAAGAACCTTGAACTTGAGTATGAGATCCATTTTATCCAATCAGGGATTAAGTTGGATTACCATAAATTGATATAAAGTAAGCACATTTTCAGATTTGTGGATTTTTATGCTTTATTTTGATACCATTCCTGATATAATGAGCGGGTCCAGAGATGTGGATTGATGTGTCCTGCTAATCAGGAAGACCCCTGAAAATCAGTCTGCACTCTATTTTTAGTGTTTTCTAAAGAGGATTTATTAACATCATTTGATAAAGGAAGCCTCGTGCCATATTTGGATATTGGGATTTATCAACTGATATTAAAAAAAGCTTTGCAAGTGCATAGGGAACACAACAAATATACAGGTATAGGGCTTTTCTGTTCAAAATTATTGTTACTTGTTAACACTGCACATAAAAGAGCTTATACCATTATTTAAGATTATATTCTAAACATTTTATTCAAGGGAACGTAGATAAGATATTTAATCATCATATTAGGCCAAAATCCAATTATTACAATTATTTTTTTCTTTTATCAATGCACTATGGTTGTCTGTACATACCTCACTACACTACTTGTGACTTGATCACAATGTAATGGGTCAGAGCTGTGTAATGGTATTAAACACATCAGTTTGGACTTATTTAAACACAGTGTTGTTAAAGTTTTGGACCAGTTTTCTTACGTCTGCTGCGGCCGTCATTTCCTGTAACTTCACAGCTTCATATTTGTTTCCGTCTGTGGCGACTTTTGTTTCTATAAGAAGCAAAGCACGAGCCAAGCAATTATATTTCACGTGGGGTTTTTTTGTCTTATGTGTGTAAATGTTAAAACACCAGAGTCACCTTTCACTTTGTCACATCTGCGCTTGCAAACTTTAACCAGGACACATATCAGCAGCGCTGCAGCAGCTACACCAAGAACAGCATAAAGAGCTGCGTTCAAAACAAACAGAAACAGAAACAAGCGTCAGAATCAGCTGAACATACAAACAGAACCACAGAAAGGCTTCATGGAGGTGTGACTGCACAGAATCTAAAAAAAAACTTTAACAAACTCTTTACACAGTTCCGTCACAATATGTCTGATTCAGTATTAGTCAGTTTTGCATGAACACTTATAATAAAGTCAGTTTATTGACTCATCACATGTTCAGTTTTACATGTTCAAGAGAACGGGTTCATGAGGTGAAGCCTGAGAGGACTAACAATTGAGAACAGGTGGAGGTGGGTGTGGCTGTTCTCATGTGTTAGTTTGCACAGGTGTCTCCACCAGAACAGGTGGAGGTGGGCGTGGCTACACTGAGAAGCACAAAGTAACTGTGGGGAATTGACTGACTGATGGAGTGGTTTGTGGCGCCAAGGAAAACAAAAAGACTCATCGAATGAAAACACCTGTAACAGAACTTAACACAAAAATCACAAAACACATAAAACAAATCATATTAACAAAAGGGGAATAAGCCTACCGGTAATAATAAACACTAAGAACCACAAAAACAATGAGACGCTTCATTTAGCAATTAAAGTTTGAAGTTAAATTTAGTCAACTTTAAAAAAAATATATATTATTTTCTCATAAGCATCCATACTCCCACATTTAAACACAATAACTCAGCCTTAAATTAGATAATTTAATAGACATGAGGGACCAGATTTATTTCTGCTCCAAAGAACCAGGAGAATAAGAAGAACACAAACATACGTGTCCTGACTTGACCTTGTGTTGGTGAAACTGATGGGACCTGTTCTGCAGCGGTGATCGGGCTCACAGATGTGGTTTGTTGTGGAGCAGCTGTCCAATAAATAAATAGATAAATACATGTTGCACATGATAAGGTAGGAATATTACTTTAAAGTGATATATGTTTGACGTCTATGGCCATTTTCACAAACTACTTCCTGTTTTCTTACGGCGTGATGGGGAAAAGTTATGGAAATTCACAATGAGATCAAGTTTACTACAATTTATTCCACTGTATGTCTTTATTCAGTAAAACATTTAAACACTTTTGATTTCTATTAAAACATTTTGAATGGTAAATCTTTTCTGGATGTCACTTTTACCGAAGACCTAGTGTTTTTTTTTTTTTTTTTTGGTTCAGCCAAAAAAAATGAACTCTAATTAAAAAAAAAAAAAGAGGAGTTCTGACCTTTGACCTCCAGTTCAGCAGCAGAGAAACCATCCAGTCCTGATTCTCTTTGGACACCACAGAGATACGACCCAGAATCCTCCAGGGTCAGATTGAAAATGGTCACTGTGAATGTGTTTGACTTCTTGTCATCGTTGAGTGTGACTCGTCCGTTGTGTCTGGTGTTAGAGGTGATCAGCGCCTGCTGCAGACACGTGGAGCGCTGGTTTCCTCTGCACATGTACTTCAGGTTGTTCAGGTACTTGGACTCATACGGACAGATGATGGACACTGAACCTTCCTCTGCACCTTGGATTTTAGTCACATTGTCGCAGCAGCTGTCTGGTAAGAATAAATAAAACGTAAACTGACTGACTGAAAAATAAAACCTTCAGATTGTTGTGAGAACTTCACATTTAAATTGACCTATCATATAAAGTCATTAGACCTCTTAACAAAGTTTTAACATCAATATCAAATAAAAATCAGAGAACTCTGAACAGTTTTATCCACTTTAAGTATTTTGTATTATTACGACGGAGCTTTAGAGCCATGCTAAGAAAAAAATTTATTAAAAACCATAAAATTGCGAGAATAAAAACCTAGTATTATGAGAATAAAGTCGATTAAAGTCTTAATATTACGAGAATAAAGTTGTACAAGACTTTTTTTGTTTTTACAGCTCTCGTGTACTTATTTATTTTTTTCCACGACTCGGATCCACAACGCGACCTGTCAATCAATCCAGTAGGCGTGTCAGCAAATGACCAATCCAAAACTAAATGAGTCATAATATTATCTGAACTCCGAAGCAGGGTTTACCGCATTTTAATTGTGGTAAAATGAAGAATGTTGAGCATCTTGTTAAGTTATACTCTGGTGTTGGTTTTACAAATAAAGAGATAGTTAATCTGTTAGCACATCAGCATCAGATTATTATCAGTATCAGGACTTTGAACCTGTTGCAGACTCTCATGGGCTGCAGCAGCTCTCTGCAAGTAAGGAGCATTTATCTTCGGATTGGTCATTTGCTGACGTCTACTGGATTGATTGACAGGTCCCGTTGTGGATCCAACTTGTGGGAAAAAAAAATAAAAAATGAGAGCTATAAAAAAAAAAAAGTCTCGTATGACTTTATTCTCATAATATTAGGACTTTATTCTTGTAATTTTATGGCTTTTAATTTTCTTTCTTAGCGTGGCCATAAAGCTCCGTTGTATATTATGTTTTCAAAGACAACATTTTCAGCTGAAAACAACTTTTTTCTGATATGACAAGGATTAAAACCCAAAATAATTGGTCTGATTCATCATCAGTTGTGCTCTTGACCCACTTGTTTTATTTAAGTCTTAAGGCCTTAAGATAAACTCAGATGGGCCTTTTCAATGGAAGGACTTAAAGAGTTAATTGACATATGAAGTGTAGACATGCACTTACCTTTTATTACTCCCAGTCTTACTTCAGTGTCGATATCGTTGAATATTCGTTCCACTCCACACCAGTACGTTCCAGCATCATCAAGACGAGTATTAGCAATATTCACATTCAACATCCTTAACTTTTTATCATCATGGACGAAGTATTTATTCGTACGTTTTTGTGACGCTTTAATAAGAAAGTCACAGTAACGCCACACGTTGCCTTTACAAAAATATTTTTCATAATCCTCATAACCTTGCTGATATGGGCAGAAAATATTTACACCTCGTCCCTCATATACAAACACCTGGATCACATCTGCAGCACATGGTGAACAACTCAGAGCTGCTGGAAAAGAGACAAGAGATAAACATTAATGTAGTTTTTTTTTTAATGTGATTATTTAATACTTGCACTTTCTATATTTCCATAAAATAGGACAATCTTTTAAAAGCATTTTTTTTTTTGCCTAAAGCGATGTTAAAAGATAAACCAGACGATCACGGGTTTAAGACAGTTGTAGATAAAATTCATGTCTGGTGTTAAACCTTATCGACAGACCTGAAATAAATCAGTCTAAAGAAAAGTTATATTTTCACAAACTTACATAACAATAAGATCAAACTTACAGCACAGAACGAGCAGCAGGTTCTGAAACCTCCTCATCTCGACCTTCCTGCAGCATAAAGCATGAACAGCTCTGAGACGTTTAGAGGAAGCAGCAGTTCAAAACTGTGAGGCTTCACACAAGGAAACTAAACTAACCCCCGGTGCTGCTTTCGTAAATAATATTTCATCACGGGCTACAGTCAGTTAAGCATCAAAGTAAGACATAAGCTGTTGACTACATTAAATATCTAATCATGAGAGGATTTTTTATTTTGAGTTGCAGAGTGAAAGTATAACTCACTATGCTAAAGCTAAAAACAGTTTTATTCAGTTTAGCTTTGGTTGGTGTAGAATAATTACAAAAATAAATGAATGATTCTTCTTGATAGTATATTTGGCTGAGCAATGCACAGTTTTTATTGCAATATCAATATCCATCCATCCATTATCATTTACCCGCTTCTTCCATTTCGGGTAACAGGGGTCGCCGGTGCCCATGTCCAGCAATCAATGTGCGAGGGGCGGGGTACACCCTGGACGGGTCTCAAGTTCATCGCAGAGCCACATAGAGACAAACAGCCATTCACTCTCTCACTCACACCTAGAGACAATTCAGAGTTACCAATCAGCCTAACATGCATGTTTTTGGTCTGTGGGAGGAAACCGGAGAACCTGGAGAAAACCCACACATGCACGGAGAGAACATGCAAACTCCACCCAGAATGGCCCCCGGACCGGGATTCGAACCAGGGACCTGCTCACTGAGAGGCAGCAGCTCTACCAGTTGCGCCACCGTGCTGCCCCAATATCAATATTGCAAAATAAATAAATAAATAATAATTATAAATTACAAACCCAACTGGAATTCCAATGATAATGTGCTCCTACAGAGCAGAGCTTGAATTAAAATAAAATAATTTGATGCTATTCAGTTTATTTATATAACGCTAAGTCACAACAGAAGTCGTCTCAGGGCACTGAACAGAAACATCCACATACAAAGCCAATTAGTAAAAGTTATTTAGCAAAAGAAGTCAAAAATGCTAAACTGTCACTTCTCACGGTCTCCCATCCTGAACAAGCACAAAGGCGACAGTGGAAAGGAAGAACTCCCTTTTAACAGGAAGAAACCTCCAGCAGAACCAGACTCAGGACAAGCAGCCATCTGCTTTGACAGGACATGAAGGAGGAACAAACGAGCACAGACTGGCAGGTCTAGATGTACGTTCTATAGGAGGAAAGACAAAAAACAAACAAACAGGTAAAGTAGAGAAAGAAAAGACAGAAGCAGAGTGAGGAAACGTGGTCAGCTTGTCCTCCAACAGTCCAAGCCTACAGCAGCTTAACTATGGGATGTTAAGATTCGGGGGACCCAGATAGTACGAGACCCAGAACGAGACAAGACTCAGGCTTAGAAAAAGTGAACAGTATTTATTATTTACAGTGATAAATATATACACATGTACAGTTGATTATCTGGAGCCCCTGAGGAGGAAGAACAAGGTCAGGTGGGTCTGGAAGACTTGTTTGTTTTTCCTTACAGGTTTGGATGTTGCAGTGGGGCGCGGATGTGAATCCAAGAAGGACTCCAGCGATGTAGTATCAGGCAAGGCTGGCAAGAGCTGGAGGACAAGGCACGAGGAACGAGGACCAGGACCAAGACAGAACCAGAACAGGACCCGAGGAGACTCAAAACAAGGTGAGTAACTCATATAGTAATAATATTTACTGGTCAGCGACATAAATACCACGAACGGAATTAATGCTCCAGTGAAGAGTAGAACTTGGCTGCAGCCTTAAGTAGAGCTGGATCTCATCAGGCAGATGGCCGACAGCTGGTGGTAATTAGCGGCCATCTTGGAGCTGCAGCCAGTGGTACTCTTACATAGGATAGCTCAGGAAACCCAAGCCAACTCTAACTATAGGAGTTATCAAAAAGGAAAGCCCAGTCTTAAAACTGGACAATGTGTCAGACTCACAAACAGAAGTTGGTTCCACAAGAGAGGAGCCTGAGAACTGAAAGATCTCCCTGCCATTCTGCGTTTGGAAACTTTGGTGGTACGCTCCGAGATGAAAGCCTGCTAGCTGCAGTAGCTGCAGCAGAGTCGGCCCACGCAAACGTCAAATCAGTTTTCTTTTATCATTATTGCGTGAAACATTTGGAGGAAATCGCTGGTTTCCTGTTCACATCAGTGGCTGCAGACTTTACAGCTTCAAACCTTTATCTTGTTGAAACTTTGTTCTCTGTGGAGCCTTTGAGTTTCTGCAGAACCTAGACTGAGGTCAGGTGATTTACTTATGATAGTGACGAGTCAGCCACAGCTGTGACACTGTCTTAGTACTTAATCATTGGTATTAGCTTCTAATGGTGAAATGATGAAACAGTTTTAACAGCATTATTTAGAAATGTTTTAACTTCCTGAGCTCTTGAAAGTCATCGAGCTTTCCCATAATAAGTAAAGCCAAACTGTTTGATTTGAGTTATCTAAAAGTGAAAATTCATCTTTAATGTTTGATGTTTTTGCATTTCCCTTTTGTAATACTTAAAATAAGTATAATTGTGCACTAAGAACTGCAGCGCATCAAGGAAACAATCTTAACATGGAGGGGGAAGGAGCTGTCAGGAAAGGCAGAAACATAAAAAATCAGCTGCAGAATCTTTGCAGCGATCTCACAGGTTTAATGCTTTAACACAGTCTACACTTCTTCTTTCGGCTTTTCCCTCTTCAGAGGTCGCCACCTCCATCCTCCTCCATCATCCTCTGTCCTCACTCCAACAACCTCCATGTCCTCTCTAACTGCATCCATTTATCTCCTCTTTGTCTTTTTTCCTGGCAGCTGCATCTCTAACATCCTGCTACCAATAAATAAATAAACCTTTTATTTTTCTGAATAGTTTTTTTATTACATTGATAAAAGCTGCTCTGACAGATAAAACAGTTCATTTCCACTCAAAACAACAACAAACCAAAGTGAAAGTGAAAGAATAACAGCCGTTTTTAGGACGTGTGTTTGGTTCTAGTGCAACTATGCTTCAAATAAAAAGCAAGATGAAAGAAAAAACCGTGCAGGATGAAGTTAAATTGACATTTTGTCTAAACTACAGTATAATTAAATTCAATAACTTTTAGAAGGTGAAGAGGAGGGAGGTTTTATACACATCAGAGTAGCGGAAAACTTAATATAAAAAGTGTTTTTGGCTTATCTGTTACTTTTGTTTTGACCAAGCAAAGTGATATGAAGCTTACAGCAAACCTTAATTACATATCAAATGCAAAGCAACAGTTTATATTTTTTGTGCTTTTATTATTCTGTGTAATAACTAATGACAAGCAGTGTAAACGTCTTCTGTCGAGTTGAGGCTTTGATACACATTTTCTTGAACTTCTGCTTTTTGATCATCGTGGCTCATGGTCTTAGAGAGAGCCATGTCCTCTGGATGTTCACAAAGCTAAAACATGAACACAGAATTAGTAATAATCAAAAACAAGCATCTTTATAAAGACGTGATTACACTCATTGGTTTTCATTTATCACTTAAAAATCGTTTTAATCATTTTAAACACACTGTATAACAACATGCATCAACACCATATTCGAGTGGGAGGAGGAGGAAGTGGGTCTGTTCATAATTTATTTATGCATATATAGATTATTTTTATTTTTTTTATTTATTTAGTTTTTTGTATTTTATTAATTTTTTTTTTTTTTATCACAAACACCTCCTTTCTCCGTGTGACTCTAGGGGTCTGGGGTGGAGGGGGAGGGGGGCACATTGTTGGGGTCTGGGCTGTGGGTGGGCTTTGGGCCTTGGGGGCAGTCAGTGATGGGGCCGGTGCTTCGGTTCCTCCTGGGCTGTTCCGATTCTTTTAATCTAGGTTCCTGGTTGCGATGGCCGGCACTTTGACCGGGGTGGCTGCCGGCTTTCGGCGGGGGGTCGGCTATGGTAGTGAACGTGTGGTCATTGGTGGTGTAGGGCGGCGGTTGGGGGCGTGGCTTCGCCTCATCGGGGCACTGGCTGGTCTTCCTGTGTGGCATTTGCGGTGGGGGTGCTGTGTGTGTGGGGGGGTGCATAGGTGGCGTGCTGGGGCGTCTCCGGGCCTATGGTGCGGGGCTCTTGATGTGGGGGCCGGCCCTCCTCAGCTGCGGCTCCCTGCTGCTCTGCCCTTTGGGCTGGGGCCGGCCTGTGGTCGCTGTCAGGTAGATGGTGCATGCTATCTGTGTGTGCCTGTTGGTTGCTCAGGTTGGGTTTTTGGTGGTACCCCTCTCTTGGATCAATTTGGGCCCCACATTTGGTGTGGGGCCCACTCCCCCCGGTCGTGCCCCCCTTTGGCGGGGGACCCCCTTGCCGCCGGTGCATTGGTGGCTCTCGGTGTCTGGGCTGGGTGGTGGGGTGCACGTCGGTCTGCCCTGGTTGCTGCCTGGCGGGGCCTGGGTGCCCTGGCTCTGTCGGGGCTCTGCCGGGGGGTGGTATGGCCTCGGGGCTTGTGGCTCGGTGTCCATGGCCGGATCTACTTGGGGGGGGCATGGGTCGCCGGCCGGACCTGTGGGCTCGTCGCTGCAGCTTCCTGGAGGCTCTGCATTGTGGTGGCTGGGGTCACCCGGTTCTTTCCTCTGCTCCTCTCTGGGGGGGTGCGGTTCTCCCTGTTGGGAGACTCCTGGGGCTCCGGGCCTGTGGGCCGCTGTGTGTCTGTGGCTCCGGTCCTCCCTATGTTGCCATTGTGTCCTGGGGGACGGGTCTGTGGGCCCCCGCGTCCACTATTGGGCATTCTTTTGGAGAAATCTGGTGGTGGCAGGCGTGCTTGCGCGGGTGTTTGGATTCAGGTGCTGTGACAGATGCACGCTAGGTTGGGTAGTGGCGGAAGCTAGATGATTCCTTGTGCAAGGTCGAATGTTTCATGGTGATATTGTGGGTGGCATTGTGCTGTGCATGTTGTTTTGTCGTGGTGGTCTCTCGTTTTATCTATTTCTCTTTTATTATTTAATTATTCTTCTTTCTTCTCTCTTTAAAAAAAAATAAAAAAATAAAAAAAATAAAAATAAAAAAATAAAAAAATTGAGCGATGACGATAAGTTCATTGAAACACTTCACAATGTGTCTACACTTAAACTGAGCTCAAAAAAAAAAAAAAAAAAAAAAAATCGTGTTGTGTCCATTAAGTGTTTGTATGCGCCACATATATTTAAATGAAGTGTAAAGAGCTTCGCTGCCTCTTGGAGCCACTGATGAAGTGAGTTTAGAAGTCATGGTGCGCACGCTCACCATATCAGGAGCTCCACACTTCTTCCTCCTCCCAGAGCGAACGTTAGTTCCTAAAAAAAACATGTATTCAACTTAACATTATGACTCTCAACAATATTTATTTATTTATTTTTGCATTTTGTATGTGCTGCATACCTTTTGCCCTGCATTTATAAGTTATGATCAGAGCAAGCAAAAGCGTCAGCAGAAGAGCAGGAATGATGTAAATCAGCATCTTCATTGGTGCGATATCTGAAAAAGCATACAAAGTGTAACTACGTGCATCATAAACAGTATATTTGTCTTATCTTGAGCCACCTCAACAAGCAGGGCAGGCCTCGCTCTCTGTATCAGTTTTTTTTTTTTGTCAGAGAATTTTTGGTCAAATATTTTAAATGATTTTATTATTATGGCTGAGAACATTGTTCCCCTCTGCCCTGAGCCCCAAACAGCCGAAACATCTCCTTTTATCTCTGCCCACGAACCTGTGATGTGCGGTGAGGTTTGTGACAGGTGACTCGTATGGAATCGGATGCTCACAACCCAAAATAGCAGCTTATATTTCAAATTAGCCTTTTTTTTTTACTTCCTCTCTCTAAAACCTTCTGTTTCGACTGAAAATCGAGTTTAGAAAAATCCTTTAGTTTTGACATACGATCTTACTTTTTGTCTATACAAATTTAAATGTGTATATTTTGCCCCCCTACAACCCGTCTGCAACAGAAGAACACACAGCAATGTTTCACTGTCCTCATGGAGCAGCACTGCCCCCTATCTGTGCGGCATGGTACTTTCTGCCTCACCCTGTGTATTTTCAGTGTGCATTATTTATTCTTTCATTTAAAAGAAACAAAACAAATTCATCAAAAAGAAAACAACATTGAATGAAAAAGGTGCAGAAAGAAGAAGAAAATTCTTATAAATGACCGATTATGACCGATTACAAAGCAGATATATGTCACACATTCATTCAATATATTAGACGGTCTGTAGAACATCAACATGTGTAGCACATGTGTAATCAAACATGTATATTGGCAATATAAAGAGAGACAGCAATGGGCATGCTCCAACCACATACTTCATATATTTTATATGACATAGCGCCCCCAGAGGTGAACCACAGCACTACACTGCCTCGCCTCTCATTGTTTAAACAGGCAATTTAGTAATTTGACCATCGAAGTGCTAAAATAATTCAGAAAACAGTTGTATAGAATAGTCAAGTTGTCAAATATATTTTCTCTTATCATTGTTAGTATTTTACTTGTCATGATGACCGAGGAGGCACTCCTCACCTGCCTCCCCCCGACTGCACGTCACTGCCATGAACCAGATGTTTGTGTAAATGAAGACTGCAGCTGGCTTCAAGAACACCTGAACTCTGTGAACTCTGAGCTGAGAGGAGTATAAAAGCGAGCAGATAACGCAGCTCGTGGCTTTTTTTTCTGTGACTGCTTTTATGCATATTTTCCTGTATGTATGTTTTTATATAGTCTATATCAGGGCTATTCAACTGGCGGTCTGCAGGCCTTTAATCCAGCCCACTTCATTAAAAAAAAAAAAAAAAAAAATATATATATATATATATATATATATATATATATAATTTTTTTAGGGTTCTGGGTTTGGGTTCTGTTTACTGCATTTATGATTCAATGCAATAAAATAAACACATTTAAAAAGTAACAGATCAATTTAAATCTTGGTTTATTTACATAATGACTTTAATAGCTGGATGTCCAGCCCCTAAGCTGCTGGTTTTCAGAAACTGTGGTCCCCTGAGCAGTTTTGTTGACTAGCCTGGCCTATACAGTATGTAACATGTCTGGAAATCAGACCTTGTAAATAAAATGCCAGTTAAAAATGTTCTTTTCAGTAAACATCAGAAAACGAGAGAATTTCTCCAACAGTTTTGTATTCATTTGTCATTAATGTGAAGACGACCATCTTGACTGTAAATTAAAAAACCACAAGATTTAAATCAACCTACATTTGTCACGGAAACGCTTCGCATGTAACTTGGGTTTATCCAAGGGGGCGCCTCTTAGACGTTTATCTGGAAGGAGAACAAAAAGGTTTGAGACTTCTGAATGCGAGTTTTTGAGAAGGGCTTACACCACAAATCTGGTTCATTCATAAAATATTTAAATCCAGTTGAGCGTCTCTGTTTTGTCTTACCCACTGACAGCTCAATCTTGGTGTAGTTTCCAACGCTCCACTGTGAGTCTGAGCCACACCAGTACGTCCCAGCATCACCTTCTTCCAGCTTCGTGATCATCACAGAGAAAGAGCTGGAGGAGACGTCCTCCTGCAGAGTGAACCTGCTCCCACTCGTCACCACATCAATGCAACTGTTGCGGTCGTCTCCCTTGCACAAGAACTTCCTGTTGTGTCTGTGTTGTGGTGGATGAGGACAAGACAAAGTGATGGTATGTCCCACTGTGGAACTGGTGTAGGTTGTCTTCACGCAGCACCACGCTGTCAGGCAGAATTAAGACATTTTTAATTAATTGTGTCTTTTTGTTTCATGCTAAAAGTTGCAGCTTAAGTGAAAAAAAAATGGCAACAGCTAGAAGAATGTTTTTAAAAAATGCTAATGAGCAGCATATCTGGTCATGGTATGAGCACTGTCACATTAAAAAAAGAATGAAACCAACACTAGCGGAAGAGGACCAATATGAAAACATACTTTTTGTCATGATGGCCCTAATCATCTTCTATGAAAGAGACAAACTGAGAAAAAAGCAGCTGTTAGTTAATAAGCTTCACACTGTTTTCACATTATTTTAATTTTTTCTTTTCTTTCGGCTGCTCCCTTCTTCTGGGGTCGCACGAAGACTTGGTGATTGTTTTTATTTCGGTTTGTTTTATGTAGCGCAAAGTCACAACAGCAGTCATCTCAGGGCACTGAACAGAAACATTCATATATAAAAATAATAATTTAACATTATGTATCTGAGGAGCAGACTGCTTTGAATTTAACTCCATGGTAGAACTCTCATCTTGAGCGAGCATGAAGGCGACAGTGGAAAGGAAAAACTCCCTCATGAGGACGGAACTTTTAGCAGAACCAGGCTCAGGACAAGATGCTAACCTTGCTAACTAGGCTAACCTCTGCACCACCACACCCGTTTCACACTATTTTATTAATAATAATAATACTTTATTTATAAAGCCTTTTAAAGCCATACAAAATAACTAAAATAATTTTGTGAAAACAAAACAACTTTCTCCAGAAGTCCCCCCAAAAAGAAGAAAATGTTTCTTTTCCTTCAACGTTTATCTTCTTTTGTTGTAAACTCATCAGCACACACTTTAATAACTAATAAAAATAATCATGATTACGAAAAAAAATATTACAGAATAAAGCCTGTAGGTGAATTTACTACAAGTTGTCATTCCCCTGTTAGTTTTGACTTTTTACCTTTCTGTACTTCGAGATTTACTTGAGCAGAGTAGCTATCATATCCAGTCCTGGTCAGCCCACACCAGTACGTCCCAGCATCCGTGGATGTTAAACCAGAGATGGTCACCACAAAGACGTGCTTCTCTTTGTCATCGTGTGTAAAGTATCTGTCCTTCTTTACGTCTGTGGATCTGATCAAAACATGTGAGTCCTCACTGCAGTCGTTCTTGCACAGGTACTTCTCATACGACTCGTAGCCCTGCTGATACAGGCAGGAGACATTTACGTCTCGCCCCTCACGTCCAGAAACACGGATCAGCTTTGCTGCACCGCTTAAACAACACAGAGCAACTGGGAAGAAAGGAAAATGTAAAATCACAAACTTTGCTTAAAAATGATATAATTTGTAACATATATAAAGAAAATTAATAAAATTACAACTTAGTTTTATTGATAATAAAATTAACCCAATCTTTTACTAATATACCCAAAATTAATTTAATTTCAAAACAAAATCTGAGAACGGTAATTCAAAGGTATTTACAAACATTTCAAATGAACATGTTTCCAATATGTCATCACCATAAATCTAAACCAGGAAGTCATTATATTAAAGATTAACATAACACGCCGTCAGAACCTCACACAAGTCCAAACATTAGCTGAGTTCATGACATAACAAATGATTTAGTTCAATTTTATATCGCCATAAACCTGAAGAAACTTACAGCAGAGGCACAACTGGAGAGTTCGAGAGCGCCACGACATCCTTCCACTGCAAACAATCAGAAAACAAGCAGCGATCTTCATGACACTGAAAGAAACAGGAACATAAAGAGGTCCGATTTTCTTCCTTCGTGTGTGAACGTACGACAAAATGCATTCCTCCAGACCAGACAGCGTAACGTCACATCCATTAATAATATCATAGCTTTTTGACTTCCTGGGATGTTTTCTTTTTGTTTCCTGGGATTTTATTACCACGTCCATTTTCTGGGATATCATTCACTTATATTGTTTTTGTTAAATTAGTTTAGTAAAAAAACGATGACACGACATTAAATGAAACTGTTGCAACACTCAACTTGAAAGAGGAAGAATTCCATAAGATGGGATCTGAAACCAACAAGAGCTCAAAATTAATTGTCCTCTAATAAAACATTTGTCCTAATGTATTCCTTTAAATATGGGCTGAAGGAACACGCTGCAGTATTCCAGTATTTTTTCTTGTGATCCTTGTAGCGTGGAACCAAGTCTTCCTGGAGTCTTGTATCCACTTTGGAACCTGCCTTTGAGCCACATCAACCTTTTTAAGTTTCCGTCCCGCCACTCTCCAACTTACCTTCATGTCACCTACCGTATTTTCCAGCATGTAAGTCGCACTTATTATGCATCAAAGCTGACCCCTTGTGTTTATTATGCCTTTATTTAATTGTCAAAACAGGTTCATTTCGCCTGGCATCCATCCATCCTTCCATCCATCCATCCATCCATCCATCCATCCATCCATCCGTCCATCCATCCATCCGTCCGTCCATCCATCCATCCATCCATCCATCCATCCATCCATCTATCCATCCATCCATCCATAAGGATTGGTCTGTTTCATGGTGTTTAGCCCCATCTTGTGTTGTGTTTTTTGTCTTATGTCCTTCTTAGTTTCTGTTTTCTATAGGGTTTGTGTTTTCCTTGTGTACGCTTCCATCTAGTGTTGTGTGTCTGTTCCTGCACTCCCTGGTTTCCTGGTTTGTCCTTTTCCCTGATGTGGTTCAGCTGTGTGTCCTCACAGGTGTTTTGTCTCATTTGTCACTGTATCAAAGTCTGTGTTAGTCCTTCGTCCTGGCATTACTTCCTGTCACCCTGGTCCTCTGTGTTTCCTACGTGTCTCCTGAGATTATGTAAGTTTGCTGCACTGTCAGCTGTTGTTTTTTTTTGTTATTATTAATAAATTATTTTATTTATCTCCTGAGTCCTGGATTGTCTGCCTGCACCCCTGGGTTTGCCTTCACCAGCCATCATTATGACACCATCCATCCATCGCAGCCGGAGCTGCTATCTCTCCAGCGTTCCTCCGCCTGCACCAACTGAGTGAAGTGAGCGCACATGGGAGGACTTGCTGTTGCAGTTCTTAGACATTTAAAGCTCTTTCAGAATAATCTCCCCAAGGACCTTGTAAATAAACCTCTTTACCTTTTATGAATGTGTGAATCTTATTTTCCTCAGACTGATCTAATCTGCGTCAAATACACTGTAATCATGTTACACGCAGCTGAACATCCTTGTTAGCTAAAATAAATGGCAAGTATTTCGACATAGTTGCTGTTTCTTGATTTGAAAATTTTGACAAATAATGCAATTTAAGAATCTATGCCAGTACACGGACAACAAAATGTGCCTCTAATTTGCAGTAAAATGTTTTATTTAAAATTCTTTTCATTCAGGTGAGGTCCTCAGTCCTCAAAAGCCAAACTGCATAATTAGACAAAATAGCTTACGTTTTGTACGAGGCAACTTGTGAACGTTTAAAGTGAAGAACTTCAAGCATTCTGTGCAGCATGCACCAGGGCTGAAGGGTGTTCACAAGACTTTACACCTTTTTGACTTGGACGCAAAAATGTTTGACACATATCAGGGTTTTCACAGCTGTCGTTAGTCTTTATTTCCGCTCGGATAAATGTCTCAAGAGAACTTTATACTTCTAATTTAATCTGCAGTATTTTTAGATTGATGTGCATGAACCAGCTCCGTGTTCACTGCTGCGTATGTCACAGCCACGGCCATTATTTATTATAACACCATATGTCGTCCAACATTCATCCTTCTGTCAAGTAATCACAGTAACTTACAATGACAACTTTATGAGACTATTCAAGTATTAATACCCACAGTGATAATTTAGTCATCTGAGATTCCTAGTAAGTTCCATTAAACAAGACCTTAAGTCAGGATATATAATAGCAGCAACTTAACAATTCTAACTTGAGGAAACACTGATTATGTCACTTCACTTTCAATTTTGCAAAATAGAAACTCACGGAACCGTGTTTCACCCTTTTATACATTGAACACAGAGTGTTGTTTTTTACATTAACTAACAGCTTGAATATAAATGCCAACCCAAAACTAAAAAGAACAACCAACAGGGACAATTTATCTTAAAACATAACCTGGAAAAAGTCTACCCATTTATGTCCCAAGACTACCCAGCAGCCCCTGCAGCTCCCCCAGTCTCTAGTGTTCAAGAACAACATGCACTTTCAACAATTCAGAATGAAGTTTAACAGTAACCTGCAGAACTTACTGTTTCTGTAAAATAACATCCTATAAGGACACAAAAATACACCTTTAATATTGAAAATTGTAAATGTGAAACTGAATGGGACATTTAACCTTCATTTTTTTAGAGCAACTACAATTTCTGTAGGGAGTTTTGAATCACGAATCTTCACATGGTAAAACAAAACAAAATAAAATTCACTGCAGGGGATTCCTGAAGGTTCAGACCCCTGTAACTCACTCAAACTACATCAGCTTCATGACTGGTCTATTTTCCTGTCAGTTATTTAACAAGCTCATCCTGCAGAGACTCAGCTGTGCCTTCTCTCCTGACAGTGAAGTCGTAACCAAGCTCCTCAAGAGTGTATTTGACTGGAGACATACATTTAAAAGAATTTGATTGGATAACAATATTTTCATGAATTCAAAAAAGTTGTTGCTCAACTGCAAAGTCCATCCACACATTTATTACCATTATCAATCCATCCATCCATCCATCCATCCATCCATCCATCCATCCATCCATCCATCCATCCATCCATCCATCCATCCATTATTGGGGGCTGCCATTGCATTGCATGGCAGGCACCTATTATTCTACACCTCCAAAGAATGTCTACATTTCTGTCTCTGTTAATGCGGCCCAAACCACAGCGTCTACTCCCACAAAGTTATATCAAAACAACTGGCTTGGCCCCGGGATGTGTGCTTTTACTTTTATTGGCATTTCGAGTTACCATGGTTACGTAATTTGCGAACAAAGACGCAATATTTCCTCAACTCCAGGAACTAGTTGGTGACTGCCCACTTATTATTCTACACCTGAAAAGCATATATTTTTCAACTTTAATGCGGCCCGAACCGCAACAAGGACCCCCACAAAAGTTATATCAAAACGACCGGCCCGGCTCCGGGAAGTGTGCAGTTACTTTTATTAGTATTCGCAGTTACCATGGCGACATATTTTGTTAACAAAGATGCCTTATTTACCACAGGAAATGAATAGGAGAAAACTCTTCACAGAAACCGAGTAACGTATGGAGCCATTTTGGTTCAACATGCAAGGAAGGCACCTATTATTACCTATTATCACCTATTATTATTATTATTAATTAGTAATATTAATTATAAATATTAATTATAAATTATTCATGTAAATAATTATCTGTTTTAAAATCAATAATTATTAATATAATTGAGTAATATTTAAAATTAATACTAATTATTGGTGTGCATATTATTAATATTGATTATTAATTATTAATATTTTATTAATTAATAAATTAACAATATATAAATAATCAATAATATTAATAATCAGTATTTATTATTAATATTAATAATCATTAATATTAATATTTATTATTAATAATAATTTAATTATAAATAGGCAGTCCCCGTCAAAGTTTCTTCAGGAAGTTTCTAGTTGTTACCTGCTCCTTCCTTTTAGGGTCACGGGGGTCACTGGTGTCCATATCCAGCTATCACTGTGCGAGAGGCGGGGGACACCCTGGACAGGTCTTCAGTCCATCGCAGGGACACATACAGTAGAGACAAACAACTGTTCACTCTCTCACTCACACCTAGGGACAATTTAGAGTTACCAATCAGCCTAACATGCATGTTTTTGGTCTGCGGGAGGAAACTGGAGTACCCGGATAAAACCCACGTATGCACGGAGAGAACATGCAAACTCCACCCAGAAAGGCCCCCTGGCCAGGACTCAGTCTGGAGTATGTTGAGTCCTTTAGTGTCGCAATCAGAAAGCAAGTTGCGTTAATTATATGTTGGTGCAAATATGCCCATCAGGTTCAGCAGAAGTGATGACTATAAACTCTTTATGCAGAATACTGCAGATCTGTGTTGTCCTCAAAGCACAATTTAAATAAGACAATCTGTTGTGAACACAGACGTAACAAAAATGACAGAAAGATAAACACATCTTCTCACAGTGAGCTCCATGTCTTAATCGTTTTATTAAGTTGTTTTTTGTTTTAACACAAGCACACACACACAAAGAACATACAACAAAATCACCTCCCACCGTACCCCTTCCACTCCGGATCAGTTACACA